TAGATATAGTACACTTTGCATTAGTGGTGATTTCCTACAGATGTTCTGGAAGTGGTCTTTCTAAGTTATCAAGTTTACTAGATAGGAACTAAGTCAAAGTGAGTTTTTTAACTTTTGTCTTTTTATATTGCTTTGTTATCTCATTCACTTTGTTATCTTTGTATTGATTTCCTTTATTAGTTAACATATTTGTTACTTTATATATCAGCATAAAAGGATTTATAACTTAATCATTTAGTATAAAGTGCAAGAGAGTACAGGTAAATCTGTACTTTTTATTTATAAAATGAATGTTTCTCACATATACCCATTTATCTAGCCATTTATTTCTAATCTTTATCTTTTTACCCTACTTTTTTTTTTAAAAAAAAGGGAATCTTTTTGAACTGACAAATGGTAATTGATTTATTGTATTTTACCAAATACAAACCTGTCTTTGCTTTTTCTGACACAAACAAAAAAAGGAATCAAATCCATGTATATCATTGCTGGGACCACTAAGTCATATGCTTTTGACTTCTTGCTCTTTTTCCTCATTTTCTCTCCATTTCTCTATTGATTATAATTTTAATTCATTTACATTTGGCAATATTTGGAAAACAAGTATTCTTACTGTCTAAATTTTGCTAATAATTAGCTGAAAGATGTTTAAATCCTTACTTTAATGCTCTCTATTAAAAGGCAATAGCAAGATAGCTTCTGGTTTTATGATCCAGGAGATATTTTTCACAAGTTGTTTGTTGTGTTCTAGCTTCAAGAATTCAGTTTTTACCTGTCAAGCACAACTTGTTATTTTACATTTAAAAATACAATATTCTTTAGAAAAATGGTTATTCTATTCAACTTTGGTGATTTTTTTTTAATAGTAGTTATTTCTCAACTAACTTAATGTGTCAGTCTTTACATTAAATTTTTTAGCTTATTTCTATGTCTGTCCTCTGAAATACCTTTTATTTGGCATACAGAATAAAATGTACAAATGCTACCCAGTCTGTGAAACTCACTATTTGGGGACAGTTTTATTTTGAAAAAATAAAAACCAGCCTTTTAAGAAGATTACTTTCTGCTGTGATGTTGGTGAAGGTATGCTATAAAATTTCATTGAAATAAAGAAGATTCTGTCCTTATCTACACATTCTTAAAACATTGTATAGAGTTCATTTAAATCACTACAGGAAAACTTAGCAGTCTGAGATAGGATTTATGCTGCTTTGAGGATCCACAACTGTGGTAGGAGATTACTGTTGGATGCTCTTCTGCATTTCATTGCATAATTCACATCATTTCCCTTGAGTTCCAGGGAGAGAGATCTTTTCCACATACTTTATCCTTCTATGAATTTCGTTTAAAGGGTTAGTGACATCTGCTGAGCATCAGGCATGTTGTTGGAACTCTCTATATTCAAACTGAAAAGAATGACATAGCGTGGCTCACAAATCTTGGCAGATGTGCACAGAACTGCTGCACCTGTACTCAGGCCAGGGTGAAGGGACTTGGTTATATGTTCATTAGCAGTGCTAAAACCACATATCTTTATTTTCCTAATTAGTCATTAATAACAGTTATCTCTATAACAAAACCACAGCTTCAGAGTTTGGAATATATATCGTCAATAATGAAAACTGAACTGACTTCTTATATTTTATAAAATATATCCATCTTATTAATAGAATCACTACCACTCATTCCAGACACTAGCTTCTTTTTATCTGTTTTGTTCTAATTCTGATGCCTAAATACAACATTTTAATGGGAAAATAATTTTTGGAGCTAGAGAGTGTGTTACAGTAATTTTAAATAAATGAGTCCTGAAGTAGTTAAAGGCTGTGGTATGGAATCTCATTGCATCTGTTATAGCAAAAGCTTTCTTACAACAGAGCCGCCATGGATGCTAGGACAAATCAATGTAAGTGGATCGATTTTTCTTAGGTCTTTTAAATGTTTAAGCCAGCACCTGGCCTTTGCAATGTCTCTTGGTTGTAGGTAATAGCTGGGAATTTCAGGTGAAGGATTACAACTTCTGAGCCAGTTATGCTACCCCAAATGATCCATTGGATGTGGCTGCAAATGCCAGTTTTAAATGTATTCATGGGATTAGGAATGAATACTTCTTTGCCTGAAATCTTGTGGTTTAGCTTTAGTACTTACTGTAGTCAGTCCATTTCTTTGAAATATTGAGCTGTCTGACAGCTTAAAATCCTAAGTTTCCTTTAAACTTGAGCCTGGCTTTGGAGGAGAAAAGGGGTAGCGTGGGGGTGGATTTTATGTAAGACTCTCTGAAGAGAATTCACTGAAATGCTTTTGCTGGCAGGGTGTGGGGAATGGCTAGCAAGCTGCTTCCTCTCAGCCTTTCTTGGGTATTGCCCTTAGCCTAGATCAACATTTAGTCAAATAATTAATGTCACGGCCACTGAAGTCTCTTGTTGGGCCTTGTTGAAGTAATCATTTTTCTTCAATGAAGAAACATGGAAAAGACTTAAATGCAATGCCCAGATTTTGTTAAGCCATGTGGCTATGAGATAGAAAACATCTTGATAACCTTATACCCTGAATTCCGGCTGGATGTTTGTTTCTCATCTAAATTGGACGACTGAATTTTTATAACCATCTCTTGATCAAACATCACCTAATGAGATTTCTTCCATTGTGAATGAAGCCAGCTACCAAATTATATTAAAAATATGCTCTATTGAGGATGCTGCTATATTGCAGAATCATTATTTCCATGTTAAATGTAAACATCTAATTATACCAAGAATTAAAATGAAGAGATCAGTAAGCAGTTGAGACATGGGTTTAGTTCTAGATCTCTTGCCTAATTCTAAGTACATTATTTGCTCTCTTTGTATCTTTGTGCCTGTGTCTTATAGTTTTGCTTGCCTTTACTTGACTCAGGGATACAGTGGGATAAAAGTTCTGACATTGTTTATCAATTAGAAGGCCCATTCTACATACAGATTTTACTACTAGTATAAATATATTTGATAATAGATCTTTTTAAACTTCAAAATGTATTATAATTATCAAAGCATTTAATGAAGAATGATATGCTAGATAAACTCTGAAGGTACATGTATAAGAAAATAACATAAAAAGCTCTTCAGTGACCTTGGTGGAGGTGATAATATCTGAGCTTAAAAATATCTTGACCTGAGAAGCATAGAGAAGGTGAAGGACACCATTCCAGACAGAGGAAATCTAGTGTACGGGCAGGGATGGACATGAGAAGTTCAGGAAATTAAGAGAAAGTAATGTTCATTGTATATTAAATCCCTCTTTATTATAAGTATAAAAATGAAAACTTGAAGAGAATGACAATATTCTGAACTTTTATTCCATAGTAATAAGAAAAGGCTCATATAGCTTGCATCTGAATTAATTTAGAATTAGCAGGTTTAGCAGTAATTTAAGCGGAAACTAAGCACTTAAGGGCTCAAGAGGATACAAAGTAAAATTAGTATCATTTTTCTGGCTTCCATTAGAGGAGACTTCTTGGAAAAAAGAATTTTAGAAGAAAGCGATAGAAGTGGATATGTAAAAAGGTTCGAAAGCATTAATAATGCTCTACACAGTGGGCATTTGGGCATAACTGATCAGATGGTATCATCTAAAGTAGGGTCTGAACTGTCGCCTTTAAAGAAACATATTAAAGATACAAGGCATGTTAATTCAGAAATATTCAATGTTCATCTTTCCCCTTAGCCCCAGAGCCACATGAAAACCTACAGGCAAAGGTTTCTCTATTACTGTTCTGCTCTCTGAAGTTTCCTCCTGCCCAGAAATAAGGAGTTTCTGCTTTGTTTGAGAATTTCTGTTTTCTGATCCATGCACCTCTCTTTAATACTTCTTACTTCCTCCCTAAAGGAACAGACTGTTTCAGATAAGGCTCCTTCTGATCATTTCCTGGCATGTTGCTTTCCTGCCGTTCTTCTCTCAGGAGTGTCTTCCCCTGTATTCCCAGCCATAGGAGCTCAATCCACCTTTAAAATCCACCCATTTCAGAAATTACTTTTCCTCTAAATGCTACTGGCTGTTTTTTGGCTTTCAGTTAGCATGTTTCCTTGTGCTGTTACACTTACTTTTCTTGTACTGTCTTTTTCTTGCTTGATTGAGAACATTGTAGTGGGGCCGTGTTTTGTAATCTGCATCAAATTGCTTGGGGTCTCTGCAAAAGTGATTGGTTATGATGTCATAGACTAATGGTCCATATGTGTGTGACTCAGTCTTTCATAAAGCAATGGTTTGCAATTCTTTGTGAAAATTCATTTTTAATGGAAAATCAGAGCTGGAAAAATGTGTGGAAAATGTTAAAATGTAAATTTACAGAATCAGATTTATTTTTTTGTTTTGATTTAGTTAGTCAGGTCTTTTCCCAGTGTTCTTAAAGGCCTACACTGTTACACTTAATACGTATTTGTTGAGTGTGTGTTGGCTTAATTTACTTAGGCTGTAGGTCTTAATCTAGCATTATTAGATATCTGGTAGCAAACATCCAGAATGTTGTCTAAAAGAACAGGACCATTTAGTGGTTAAATGATAGTATCACAAAATCTAATCATTTTCTCCTATAAGGAAACATTTTAAAATTTTAATTAATTTTTTATTGAGGTTACATTGGATTATATCGCTGTGTATGATTCAGAGGTATAGGTTTTGTGTTCTGTGTTGCTTCTTTGTTCAAAGAGGACACGAGAAATAAGATGAGAAAGCATATTTTGTGTAATGGGGCTTCAGCTTATTTAGAGTTGTGAGCTTTTTATTGACAAAAAAAAAATCACAATTGAAAAGAAGAAAAAAAATCAGAGGAAAGATTACTTGCCACAATCATGAACCTTTGTTAGATTTTCAAATGTTTTTACTCTGTCAACATTTTAAGGTAAATGTTTTGCTTATCCTATCCTCCATCTTTCTTTCTATGGAAATTCCCTGGGATGATGGAGAAATAGTTGTCTAAAGATAACACTGACTTTTTTTTTCTTTTCTTCCTCTTTTGCCTTTAGCTCAAGCCAGGGCAGAACAGCTGCAGGGACAGTGACAGTGAAAGCAACAGTGGAGAATCCAAGGGCTTCCACAGGAGCAGCTCCCGGGAAAGACTCAGCGATGTAAGTATAAAAAAAAAAAAAAAGAAAGAAATCAAAACCACCAGACCACACACCCCTTGGCTCAAGAGTCATGTTCCCACACTTCCATCCCTTCAGGTTACTTTGTATTCCTAGGTATCGCAACTCATGCACTTTTGGTGTTCAGATAGTTGAGCCTTGCATTATATATCATTCTGTTTTCTAGTTAGACGTAAAAAGTGTTTCAATAAATTTTTAGGTGGGTGGGAGTATTTGTCACCCTAGAAATAGCAGATTATAAAGAGAAGTTATACTTTCAATATCAATGTTACCAGTGAAAGAATTGCCAAGCAGTGCTCAAATGGGAGATGACATCTTTTATCTGGGCTTTTGTAATTCTCTCTTCTATGAAATTGGCAACAATCCCTTTTGTTATATTTTTTTTTTCTGTTAGCAGGGATAGCATCCCCACTATTTTTTTTGGCAAGGGAAGGACTGATTTCAGAAAAAAAGCCATGTGAGCACATATAGTGTTTTTTGAGGGATCTTTCAGCCCTCTAGACCTGACATTAACAGCTCTCCAGCCTCCTACCCACCACCTAGTCAGGTTCCCTTTTGCTACTCCTGAGAATCACCCGGCCCTCTTAGGACCTTCCTGTCTTACATAAACTGTCATATAACAAGATTCTTGACCATCTTTGCACCGGAGAACAATACTTGGAAATGTATTTGTAAAGTAGATGAAGTAGAGAGAAATTTTTATTACTGTTCCAAACAAAGGAACTTTAACAGATTGAGGTAGTTCTTTGAATAGACACGAATTCAGAATCTGAAATTCTAGAAAAAATAGCATTAAAATGCATATAATAAGGAGCAAAACCCTTTGCTCAGTTTTCTTCCTCTTTATTCTCTAAGCCATTGTCTTCATTATGTTGTACAAGATGATCAAGTGTGTTATTAATATTCAGTTCAATAAGTATGAATTTATAAATATGTATCTGGTATATGGTCAAAACTTTTTTATTTTTTTTACTGAGAAGTATCTGTAAGCATAAAAAGTTGCAGACCACTGCTACATTCTACTGCTTTCTCTGCAATAATTTCCCATTCACTTTTCCATCTGCCAAGATAGACAACTGCAAGGCACAACTGCTTTCCTGGCCTCTCAGAAAAGTTGGCGATACTTAATGTATGGCACATTTGAATTTGTAAGAATTAAGTGGAATAAAGTATAATTATTTCTATAGTACTTTTAATGTCTTAAATATAGATAATTTCCCTTCTTCTAATATGGTTGAAGATCAGTTATTTATTAAAGAATACCATTTCAGTCTTTTGCTGTGAGTATGCCTATGTATGAGAATATATTTTCAGCATTTATATGAAGCATTAATTTTGTGATGGGATTATAAATTACAACAACACTATGACAATATTCCTTACCTAAGTTGTTAACAATAATTCATTCTTAAGTAGCTATTCTTCTGATACTTCATTTCCCTTTTAATACCTTATTGACCTTGGAAATTATTCAAGGATTAGTTAATTATAACTTCATCATAGAGTAGAGCAATGAAAGTCACACTGTGTCAGGGGACAAGAACACAATATTATATAGGCATTGAGATCTTTCGTCTGATTACTCTGAACTTAATTTCCATTAGGTCAAAAGATATGGGCATAAGACATACCAGGTTCTTGGACAGGAAGACTTAATATCATTAAGGTGTGTGTCAGAACTTCCCATAGCAATTTACAGATTCAATGCAATTCCTATAAAAATTCCAACAGCTTTACTTTTGCAAAAATGAGAAAACAGATACTCAAATTCAAATACAACGGCATGAGGCTCCTAGAAGTGAATATGTTCTTATAAAAAGATGAATAAGTCTACCCAGTATTAAAAACTACAAAGCTTACATGTTCTCAGAAACAGTGTCTACTATATCAGGGTAGATATATAGACCAACAGAGTAGAATTGAGAGTACAGAAATGATCCCATACATTTGTATCCAACTGACTTTTGACGTGGATGCCAAGTATATTCATTTGAGAAAGAATTTTCTCTTCAACAATTGGTGCTGGATAACTGAATTTCCCCATGGAAAAGAATGAAGTTGGAGCCTGTATCACACTACATATAAAAATCTACTCAAGTTGAATCAGTGGCCTAAATATAAGACATAAAAACCATAAAACTAATCTTAGAAGAACACATGGGTAAATCTTCATGACCTTGAATTTGCTAATGGATTCTTATATATGACACCAAAAACATGAACAATAAAAAGAGAAAAATAGATAAATTGGAATTCACCAATATTAATAACCTATAGAATTCAAGAAAATATTTGAAAATCATTACTAATAAGTGTTTAATATTCAGAATATGTAAAGAACTCCTTCAACAATATAAGGTAAATAGTGCAATTCAAAAATGGGCAGAGAATAGATGTTTGTTGTTCAGAGAATATATACAAATGGCGAATAAGTATATGAAAGATGCTTATCATCATTAGTCATTAGGGAGCTACAAATTAAAGCCATAATGCAGTATGACTTTACATCTACTAGGATAGTTGCAATTAAAAAAAAAGGGGGGGGGCGGGCCTCCCCTGGTGGCACAGTGGTTGAGCGCTGGGCTGCGAAGCTGCCCACAGCCTCTGCAGCGCCAGTTCAATCCCCAGCTGCCGGCGAGGGTCCCAGATGGTGTGCAGACCTCTCTTGCCCTGCCCTCTGCTCCCCTCAGCAGTGTATTTCGTCAATCTGCCTGTTCTGTTCCCCGCTCTGGCTCTGGTGAATTCTCTCACCCTCCCATGCTTCTGACTGTACCCAGTGCTTGTATAAATAAATAAATAAATCTTAAAAAAATAAATAAAGGGCATTAACAAGGGTTGGCAAGGATACTGAGAAATTGAAACCCTCATACATGACTAGTTTCATTGAATTGTCACTTAAAATACTTGTGTCAACCTTGATGTCTTCTCTCTCTCTCTCTCTCTGTCTATAAATTAAAACACAATAAAAATAATGTACTAAAAGTCTGTAACAATCCTGCCAGTTAATCCAGTCTATGAAATATTTTGAGTTCATGTTGCTTATTAAGCATTAAAATAATACTTTTTGCAAAAAAAAAAAATTGCATGAACGGTGAAATGTCTAAAAAGAAGAGAAAAAGTAGTTGTCATATAATGAGATGTTTCATAATCTAAATCCATTCATTTCCTTTATATGAGCAGTTCTGAGGCTACAGAGTTGGACCTAGTCTTATTGCTGAGATGAAAGCCTCTGACATGTCAAGTCACAAAATAATTCTTTCAAACAGTAGGGCAATACCTACCGTTACAATATTTTACAAAGTGAAGATGCTCTCTTTTTTTTCTTAAAAGTAATTAATAATGAGTTACTTAATTGACTGTTAGAGAATGAGGAGATGGAGCCAAAGGCCATTACCAGGTTTCGTTTTTAAAAATATCTTCCAAGGCTTTCAGTAATATGCTTGTGTTTGCATGTACTTTCTTGTGCATAGGAAAATAGTTATAACTATTTCAATGTCTACTCATTGTGTCATTGTGTCACTTCCGAGTCTTTGCTATTGGTTGATTTTTCTCCTCATTATGGGATGTATTTTCTGTCTTCTTTGTATGTCTGATAATTTTTCATTGGGATGCCTAGCATTATCAATTTTTCTTGCTTGGATACTGGATATTTTTGGCTCCTGTAAATAGTCTTGGACTTTATGTCACCTGCCAATGTGACTTGGACTTTATATCACCTTCAGGTACTAAAGGTTCATTTCCAAGCCACCATAGTAAAGGGGATCAAAATAAATGGTGTCACAGAAGGTTTTTGAATTCCTAGTATATATAAAATTATATTTATATTGTATCATAATCTATTAATTGTGCAATTGCTTGTGTCTAAAGAAACAATATATATAATCTAAAAAATTCTTTATTGCTGAAAAATACTTACCATCATCTGAGACCTCAGTCCAAGTCTTTTTTTCCAGTGGCGTGTTGCATGCATGTTGATGGATGATGACTGAAGAGGGTGGTGGCTGCTGAAGGTTGGGGTGGGTATAGCAGTTTTTTTTTTTAAGATGTGTGTGTGTGTATGTATACAAGAACTGGGGTACAGACCAGAAGCATGGGGGGTGAGAGGATTCACCAGAGACAGAGTAGGGAGCAGAACAGGTAGACTGATTGAAATACACTGCTGAGGGGAGCAACAGGTGAGACAGGAGAGGTCTGCTGTGCCGTGTGGGTAGCTCCCTGGCTGGCCAGGGATTGAATTCATGCTGCAGAGGCTGTGGATAGCTTCACAGTGCTGTGCTTAACCCCTTGAGCCACCAGGGAGGCCTGGTGTTTTTTAAAATAAGAGCAATGAACTTTGCCAGACCCTTTAGTTCTTCCTCTCTGTAGCACACAATGCCCTCAATAGTATTTTACCCACAGTAGAATGTCCTTCCAAATTGGAGTCATTCTTAAGCCCTGCTAGTGCTTTGTTAATTAAGTCTACATAATATTCTAGTCTTCCTTGTCATCTCAACAGTGTTCATAGCATCACCCCCAGGAGTAGATTACATTTCAAGAAAAACGTCTCTGCTTTTGCATAGGAAGCAACTCCTTATCTATTCAAGTTTTATCCTGACTGCAGCAATTCAGTTACATCTTTAGGTTCTATTTCCCATCTTACTCTCTCTACTACATCTGTAGGAATCCACATGGAATTCAATCCACATGGATTGCTGTGAATTTTTATATTTTGCCTCCTTTCATGAATATTAGATGTTCCTAATGGTATCTAGAATAATGAACTCTTTCAGGAAGGGCGTCCATTTATTCATTCCAGTTTCATCAAGGAAATCACTATATATGGCAGCTCTAGTCTTCATGACATGAATTTCTTAAAATAACACTACTGGAAAGTAAAAATGACTCCTTGGTCCATGAGCTGCAGAAAGGATGTTATGTTAGCAGGCATGAAAACAACATTCATCTCTTTGTCCATCTCCATCAGAGGTGGTGGGTAACCAAGT